AATTTAGTAAAACTGAAAACAGAAGGGGGTAGAATAAAATAATTATTGACTGGTGATTTCGGGCAACAGATCATTTGTTGTCGTCATAACGTCATATTCACATTATACTAACTGGCAACTTTGGTTATAACCTTGATTTCGCAAAGTTTGTAATGTCTATGTTGCGTTAATGTAATGTATTTGATATACAGGGAAAGATATCCGATGCACAGGAATTTTCTTTAAAAAAATATTTGTAGACAAATTTAAAATATACTTCGTTATATTTCATATAATATAATAGTTTCATTGGCTTCAAGGTTTTAATTTGTTGCAAATTTGTATGAACTGTATCGTATTTTAGTGTTGCTAATTAATTTCTGTTAACGTACACTAAGCATTAGATAATTTCTGTTAACGTGCACTAAGCATTAGATGACGCAGAGTAATCTACGAAAATTGTGCAATATATGTAATTTTTATACTCTATATCACAGTAGGTTTCCTACTTAGGTGGACGTTTCTTACACCCACGGCTTGAACAAGTTTCGAACCATGGTTTGGCTCTAATAAAATAGAATATATAAACTTTGTAGTTGCACTGGACTCAACAATTTCGTATTTTATATATATGTTAAAGATTTATTTTCTTTTTCACCAGAAGTGAAATTGAAAAGAGAATCTGTGACGTAGAGGCTTAATACATTTGATTGGCTGTACCCTCTGCTATGGACTGCAGTGTCACCTATTCAAGGCTCATCAGCACAGCTTGGGTCAGTAAACAGAGGAAATACCCTTAGGACTTTTATTTTATTTCCATTACATTTGAACCGAAAATGGTGATTGGTCAGACGTCAAGACGTTTTATTTCATTGAACGGGAATACATGTATGTGAGGTGTAAACGTTTCTAGAGTTTTTTGTAAGTAATTATATTGTAAATCTTAAGTCATATAGTTATTTCTATAGCTTATTGAGTTAGTGGACTCCTTCGATATTTCCACTGGAAATTCAGACTTTACGACAGTACGACCGAATTCGATAATTCTGTTAGTGGAAATGAGCCAGCTTTCGTGCTGTGGTGTACATTAACAAGGACCGGTAGTTTAACATTGGAAAACTGGTAGTGTACCGCTGATAAGGATTGGTGATATAACATTGACAAGTACTGGTCATTGGTAGTTTAACACTAACAAGGGCCGGTAGATTAACATTGGAGGACTGGTAGTGTACCGCTGATAAGAACTTTAACATACTGATAAAGATTTGTGGTCTAGCTTAACAAGGATTGATGATCTAACAGTGGTGATCTAACATTGACAGCGACTTGTTGTCTAACACTAACAACTGACAAGGACTTGAGTTCTAAAATTGACTGGTAGTCTTACATTGACAAGGGCTGGTGGGTTACCATTGATAGGAAGTGGTTTATTTGTGTGTGTGAGTGCGTGCACGTGTTCGAAACAAAGCAGCGTATATATATATATAAAGAGAGAGAGAGAGAGAGAGAAGTAAATATTTCTCTACATATTTATTCAACACTGATATAAAATAGTTTTTAGAAAAGATTTTCTCATGTGTTATTTATTTATGCATCGTGTTTTGTAACTAATATTTTACAAACGCAGGCACGTCTTTCGCATTACTAGCATGATAGTGTAGTAATGTCTGAGAATTCATAATATTCTTCCATATGAGTCGGACGTAGTATAGTTGCTGCGTATCCAAAGGTCCAAGGCTCGAGCCACGATATGCCGCTGAACACGCTCCCCGCTTTATATCGCGGAGACGTTATAACTGTAATAATTAACCCCACTGTTGGACTGCAGGCAGCCGCTTGGACATCGATGCTGCTGGCTGATTGACCTCCTCCTTATGGTCAGTAGCTCAAAATTAGGAATGATTATACATGAGATGTCTGGCCTGGTCACTTAGCTCATTTGTTGCATAAGGTACCGTTTTGGTAAATATCAATACCAGTTCTTCAAACGATTGATAGACTTGAATATTTAGTTAAACAGACACCTACTGTATACATGAAAATTTCAACAAAGAAATATATATGTTTCTAAACTTTCACATCTAAACGTTAACTGACAAGTTAAATAAACACCTGTTCCACCACCATAAATATCAAAGGTATAATTTAAAGTTCACTGCTTACGCCCAATAACGTTCCAGGAGGTTTTTATGTATACTTTTTGCTTTATTATAACATTTAGTGCGTCAGTGCAAAATTAAATCAGGGCAAGAAAGTATTTGTTTAACGTGATCTGTGGGGTTAACAAGTAGTTATTTTTGTGACATTATACTCGAACGCCCTCTGTTTTTCACGCTTGAAATTACGGGTTGTATAAACTGGAATAAATTTTCCAAATTAAAACCATCACTCATTATACGTCGAAACAAACCCGATTTTAAACGACCCAGAGCGGCTGGGTTGCATTCAGAATACTAAAAGTTCACATAACGGAGGGTTTTCATCACCACGAGATTAGTAACGTGTGTGTTTTCCCTCCCTAATCAACATGAGCTGTAAAGAAGAAACGACGTAGAACAAACACTTTAATCAACAAGCCGGGACAGCTATTGTTTTAGACATGTCGATGTAGGCCGCAAAACTAACCTCAATAAAGCCAACTATTTTTTTTTTTATTATATAGTACGCATTCCAAAGCGTAACTGTTAATAAACTTTCACAGCTAGTAACAAAAAACAAAAGAAAAAATACAAAAACAATAGCGCTTTACAATATAAATGTAAGAATGGTGAAAACCTATCAATAATTATATACATATGTATATATATTACACATTCATAAACAATAAAGAATCGGTTCTATTGTTTCCTTACAAGGAGAACTGCATGCTTGTATGCCTAGCGATCAACATTTTCCTCCTCGACATACTGGGAACGATTTGTGTGTGTGTAAAATCATTATTAGTACGTGGTGAGAAAAAGCAGTTTCTTGTATGTGCGTGATGAAATAATAGGCAGTGAAAAATAAGGTTATAACTTTCTAATAACTTAAAGGCATAAACCATGTATCTTTCGGTTGCGAAAATGTTAGTCTTATGCACTTTTTTCACTAGTTAAGCAATATTTCGCGAATTCTGCTATATAAGAAGTTTACCTTGCTTTTTGTTCATCTGCATGTTTTCGGTGTGGGTCTGACATGGCCGGATGGATAGGGTCGTGGGTTCGAATCCCCATCCCACCAAACATGCTCGCCCTTTC